GTTCTCTTCAGAAGAACAAGTCCATTCTAGTTTCATGAAAATTATTTAACTCATGGCTTCTTCCATTCTTGTTTCATGCATGATTGTAGAAATTCTATCGAGTTCTTCCGGAGCACAGGGCTAGAGCGGACCAGATCGTGCTGCGCCAATGCAAGAAGAAGGCCCGCTAGATGCAGTACGAGGTGCGCTATGTGGCCATCTCCACATACTACCGCGACTATCTTGGTGTGAAGATGACCAAGGAAGAAGCGCGGAGGATGGGCATTACCTTGGAGAGGCCCGAGTTCTTGGCGTTAAGTATAAAAGATTTTTCATTATGCTTTCATATATTATGCTTTCATTATGCTTTCATTACCTTGTGGTACATTATGCTTTATGCTTTATGCTTCCATAACACCAATTTGGACAGACCTACATGCCATTATGCTTTTATTATGTAGGTGTGTCCAAATTGGTGTTATGGAAAAGACGAGTCCTGAGCGGCATTGGTGGATCTTTGGTGTGATGAGGCTGGAGCCTGGGCGGCTATGAGAACCAAAAATAAGGCTAACCGAGGGACGGAGGGAGTACATGCTCAGGGAAACCGAAACCACTATCTCCACAAGGCAGTTAATGTATGACTAACCCCATTAAACATTCTTCTTCTTCTATTACCATCACTTTCTTATGTATGACTAACCTTTGTTTGGTGGTGCAGGAGGAGAAACTGAAGCGGCCGCTCTCACACATGCAGGCGTGGGAGATCGCCCATACGCGGAAGGACCCCAAGCCTGGCGAGCCCAAGTACTACGGCAAGAAGACCGCAGGGAGGAAGAAGGCCTACTCCAAAGCGTATCTGAAGTTACATCCTGACACACCTGACCCCATTGCGGCGCCTCTGGACGACATGGCGGTGGTGAGGATGGGGCCCAAGGAGCACAGTCGGGAGGCGGTTCTCGATGCTGTGATCACTCCTAGTATCTCCTACACACAGCTTCGTCGGATCGACCCGAGCCTGAGCCAGCGTACGAGCCAGCCAGTGACCAGTACACAGTCCCTGTTTCAGGAGCAACAATCTGTAAGTATTTTCCCTCTTATCTTCATTGCTCACTTTATTTTCCGCATTTAGTAGTTTTATGAGTTCCATCATGTCATACCGTAGGCCTACCTGGAGTACACACGCCAGGAGACCATGGCGTGGCATTAGAGGCTTTATGAACACCAAGTGCAGAGGGATAGCCAGATGCAGCAGGCTTTTCAGGACATGGCGGACGGCAGGTGTCCTCAGTTCCCTCCAGCACAATGCCCTCCAGCACAACCAGTGCTGATGAGCTTTGAGGAGTTTGTGGCACAGAACGCTGGCCCCTCGCCGGTTAGTTCATCCCCAATCTATTCACCCAAAGCATGTCATGCCTTTCAACACAGTCATATATCCCGTGCATATGTCTTTTCAACATCCAGGGAACAGGTGGATCTACCGTTGGCGGTGGTCTTCGCAGCACTCCGGAGACACGGAGCCCGACCACTCCGATCCATGGAGGAAGAGGCGGAGGTGGAGGCGGAGGCGGTCTTGGCGGTAGCGCTGCCGCTAGCAGTGACGACCTGGGCTTCGGCCGTCTTGGCGGTGACGACCTCCGCGGTGCTCGATGATCCTTGTGTGTGGTGATGATGCTTGAGATGACTTGTGTGTGGTGATGATCATTTAGATGACTTGTGTGCTTCTCTATATGCTTATGCTTATGTTGGTTGTGATGATGTTCATTTAGAGACTTGTGTGTGATGATGCTTATGCATATATTGTTGTGATGGTGCCGGATGATATCCCGTTGTGTTTTATATGTCTATCCCATCATATATATCTGCTGATATGTGCTGTTATTTGAATTGATTGATTTGAAAACAAACAGAAAAAAAAAGCAAAAGCAAACTATGCCGACGGCTAGGCCGTCGGCATAGGGCTAGCATGAGCTCCGAGTAGCTGACACGTGACACCTATGCCGACGGCCTAGCCGTCGGCTTAGTTTAAAAACTGTGCCGACGGCATAGGCGCTCACGTGTCACATACTGGGAGCTCTGTATGAAGGACTATGCCGACGGCCTAGCCGTCGGCATAGCCCTGGTCCACGAGCAGCGGCTGGTGGCCACGTCGGCATAGGGGTGCCACGTGGCGACCAGTCGTTGGGTAGACTTGACGGCGGCCGCCGTTAGGCGTGATAGTTGCCGACGGCCGGGGCCGTCGGCATAGATGTACGCCCCCCGTCGGCGTATCATATATGCCGACGACTTTTCTATGCCGACGACCTCCCTGGCTGTGCCGACGCATATGTTGCCGACGGACCTATGCCGACGGGGGCCGTCGGCATAGGTCTATCCCGACGGGACTCAGGCCTATGCCGACGGCCCTGGCCGTCGGCGTAGGGGGCGATTCCGGTAGTGTGATCAAACTTAAACAAGGTAGACTTTGAACAAACACATGACTTCAATTAGTTTGAAACAGAGGTACAATAGTATTCACGATCTGCTAAATGAATAAAAATTTATCCCTTACAAAATATAAAAAAATGGGATAGAAGATATGTTTGGATTTCTAGGGTATGTGATCTAGAATTGCTCTTAGGGGCGCATATTTTTGGCTTTGGGGAGCATATGCTCCCTAATAGTAACTAGTAAAATCAAAATACATAGTACATAAATTTTAAAAATTCTGATTTTTTTTATAGATGTTCATATTAGTGTGGCAAGTGTGCTTGACAATTTTCATGCCATATGGGATAGCGGTGCTTCATCCGTGAAAAAACAAATTTAAGTGTAACATTTGCAGGTCGATTTTTTTCTGCACATGTCAAAAATGCTTATGTTTTTCACCTGCAAATTTGCATGTACCATTTGAGTGTGACAATGAAGACATCTAAACAAAAATCAATTTTTTTGGCATTTGTAAAATTCATTTTTTAGCACGCAGGATCATGTGCTCCGTAGAGCCAAATTGAATATACGTGCTCTTAGTCTTTAGCTAGGTAGTAAAGAAAAATTGTTGAGATGATGTCATACCTTTCTTTTGTGCACATGGGACATGACGACATACCAGCTGACGACTCGATCGGATATAACAGTCGTTCGTTTAATAGTCAAATTTGTACGTGTCCCGTCTAAACTTGCCCCACATTTACTGTGGTTGGACAAATGTATGGTGCAAACGAATAGTAGTGCCGTGTGTGTGCGGTATGAACCTATAGTGAGAAAACAACACGGCCAATATTCTCCCGGCCGAGGTTCAAGTTTTATTCCTGACCTCGGACGCACAGGAATGACCTGCCAGGTCGTGCGCTGCGCACACCAGACCAGAGCCGCTAGCTGCCACAGACGCGCGCTTCCTGGAAGGCTGGAACCTACGTACAGGTTCAGACTGTGGAAAAATCGAACGAGGTAACTTGGGCGACTCGCCAGGCATGCATCCATGGCGCTCTCTGAACAGGCTGCCGGATTTTTACAGTCATCCGCTAGTCGCTATATATATATCGGCGACGCACGGGCCCCATACTTTCGCTAGTTCAGGCGACGCCTGTGATCCGATCGGAATAGGCCATGGACCTCCGGCACCACGCCATCCAGCTCAGCGCGAGTCCTGGCTCGGCGGCTGCCGCAACGCGGCCCGGCGGCGATGGTGGCACGATGAGCTCCGAGCTGTACCTTGCTGTGTGCGGGGGGAAGAAGGAGAAAACCATGGCGCTGCTTCGGCAACACCCCAGTGGTAATGTTTACCAAACTGTTGGATTTCCCGTCATCTGTACGTACACATACTTATCGGTGCACAATAGCTAGATGTAAGTTGTTTGAATTTATAATTTGGATGAATCGAATTTTGAGTGATGGAACCAACAGCCAGAGAGAAGGAAGGAGCTCGTTGGAGAAGTGTCTGGGTCTGTCTTAGGATGGCAGGCGACTCCATCATCTATCTTAAGGTGTGGGAGATAGTGCAAATTCACCAAAAAAAACTGCCCTTCGCCGGGGCTAGAGGGATGACCGGGGGCAGCAGTAGCATGCCGGTGAGCGATGGTTGAGGAGAGGGTGGGGCGGCGAGGCTAGCGCGGGAGTGCCGCCGCCCACGGGCGGTGGTGACTGGCGGTCCAGCCGGTGGTCCGTGGGGGCACTTGGGGAGGAAGCCGTGGGGAGGTTTAAGATATTCGAGAGGTTGAAGAAAGGATCCGGCTGTCCGTTTTGCATTCGACAGCGGGAAAGAATCAACTGACCCAGTTTAATTTTTCAGTCAACTTACACCTAGCCACTCCGTGTACCAAAATTTATGAAAGTTCACTCTTTTGTACAGCTAAACTAAAGTATTGAAACTCGCTAGAGTTTGGCTGAAATTGTACCAATGTTTGAGAAAAATTATAAATTTCAAGTTCTACCTAAGTTTAGCTCGAATTCATTAGTCACCGATAGTTTGCAAAAAAAGGTGTCACCAATATATTTTGGCTGCTACAAACAATTTGAAGACCCAATTTCATTGTTTTGTTGTTGGGTTGGGCGGGTCATGACCTACTTTCGTCTCCGCCCGCTACTGGTTGATACGATTAATATTTTGGGACAGAGCAAGTATTTTGGTGCATAGTGAATTAACTAGGTTTTCCTATTTTCTTTTGAAATTTTATTCAAACTTAATGGGAACACATGTTTTTATTGTGAGGGGAAACCCACGTATATATTTGAATTGTTTCAGGCATACACCAAGTCAGCGCGGAGAGGAACAACGTTCTTCATTTAGCCGCAGAGCATGGCCACGTCGAGCTAATCCAAGAGCTCGCCATCTTCGGGGACAAGAGCTTGCTGTCTTGCCAGAACTCAGCTCTCGACACGCCTCTGCACCTCGCGGCGAGGGCGGGGCATGACAAGGCCGTATCCCTCCTCGTCCAGCTCGCGCGGGACTGCGGGATGAGGGTGTCTTACGGTGCAAGAACGAGGCTGGGGACACGGCCCTTCATCTGGCGGCCAGACTCGGCCATGGTGCGCCAGTTGAGGCTATGGTCTCCGTGGTGCCCGACCTGGCCTCTGAGGTTAACGACGCGTCCGTGTCGCCGCTGTACTTGGCGGTGATGAGCAGGTCGGTGCGAGCCGTCAAAGCTATAACGACCAGGTGCGGCGATGCGTCGGCTGCTGGCCCGAGCTCGCAAAACGCTCTGCACGCCGCCGTCTTCCAGGGCTCAGGTCAGCTTGGCAGCTAGCTCCTCCTTGATCCGTGTGGATTCTAAAAGCACATGCATAATTGTCAATCCTCGGCTGATATGTATTACCAACCATCGATGTGAACATTTTCAGAAATGGTGAGGCTGCTACTGGAGTGGAAGCCATGTGGCCCATCCCTGGCTAGCCAAGCCGACGGCGCCGGCAGTACTCCGCTGCATTTCGCTTCGTCGGACGGTGACCTCTCCATCGTACGTGCCATCCTGAGCGCCGTGCCGCCATCCGCGGTGCACGCGCGGGACTCAGGCGGCCTCTCTGCTCTCCACGTCGCGGCAGGGATGGGCCACGTCCGCGTCGCCGAGGCGCTGATGAAAGCCTGCCCCGACGCCGCCGAGCTGAGGGACGACCGCGGCGGAACCTTCGTGCACGCCGCGGCCAGTGGAGGCCACTCCAAGGTCGTGCGGCTCGCCATCAAGAGACCCACGCTGCACGGCATCCTGAACACGCAGGACAGAGACGGCAACACGGCTCTCCACCTGGCGGTGGCCGCACGCGCGCCGGCCGTGGCGGAGGCCCTGATGTGGAAGGGGAAAGTGCGAGCGGACGTCATGAACAACGAGGGGCAGACGCCGTTGGATCTCGCCGCGAAATCGACCAGTTTCTTCTCCATGGTAAGTCTGGTGGCGACACTGGCCGCATTCGGCGCGCAGTCCCGTCCTCAAAGGCGGGACCATGTCCAGCAATGGAACAACCACGACATAACAAAGGCGATAGAGAAGACGTCGGACAGCCTCGCGGTGATCGCCGTTCTCGTCGCTGGCGTCGCCTTCACCGCCGCCAACAACATACCCGGCTCGTACGAGCAGGAGGGGAATAAAATAGGGATGGCGGTCCTCCAGAAGAAGCCCATCTTCAAATGCTTCATTATCCTGGACAGCTTGGCCCTGGTGACCTCCGTGCTCGCCGTCGTCCTGCTCGTCTACGGCAAGGCCTCACGCTCCGCCGGGTCGTGGAAAACCTTCACGGCGGCGCTGCACTGCCTGTGGTTGTCCCTGATCAGCATGGTCCTGGCATTCTATGCGGCTCTGGCAGCCGTCACGAGCACCAGGGCGGTCCACGACATCAGCTACTTCATCATAAACGGTGCCCTTTGCCTGATGTTAGCCGTGGTCACGCATTTGGTCAGCCCTCGCGTGTCCCACCACACGCTGTGGAAGTACCTTTGGCACCAATGTGGCTTGAAAGGACGTCAAGGTGTCATCCGTAGGCGTATCAGACAGCAGTATCCAGTCGTCGGTGCTTTCGTGCGCAACCTACTTCTGTTCAGGGCTGCATATTATGTTGTAGTGCCTGCTGGTTTTGTCATAGTCTGGAAACACGGTGACCGTGCGGCAAGAGAGATGAAGCAATTGATGTAAGTATATATTTTAAATATTATCTTTTCAATCAACAGGGCGTCGCCCGGCCCTGGCCCCATTTTCATTGAAACGAAACGAAACGAAACCGTACATAGTCCAATAGTCGAGATCTAAAAAAAATGAAATGTAATATCACCGAGAGTTATAGAACTTGCGCTCAATATTCAGTTTGGTGCTAAAACTTTAAAAATGCAGATTTATAGCCATCCAACTTGGGTTCTCATATAAATATGGTCACATCGTTCGTATTCAGACATATCCTTGCTTGTGTGGCATTGCCATCGTGGCTATGGCCTATGGCCCATAGTCATTGACCGGAAAAATGAGAATAAAATGTTGATGAGCATTTATAAAATTAAAACCCTTCAAGGATGTTGATAAGCATAAGAACCCAAGTTGGATAAGCACCTCGTCTTGCTCCCTCACTGCGTCGGTGTCGTCAGGGTAGTGGGCCACCTTGAGCGCGAACGCGGGGCCGGCGGTGCCACGGAGGTGCACCTTGGTCACGACGCCGCTCGCACCCTCGCCTAGGTCGGCCACCCACTCCAGGTCGGACAGCTTTAGGCGACGCTCCTCCCCCTCCTTGTACATACCAGCGGCGGCAGGAGGCGGGGCGAGGTCCGGGCGATGGAACATGAGGTGGGGCGCGCACGGGGGCATCGTGCCGCCGGGCGCCATGCGGATGCGAGGCAGCAGTTTTTCCAGAAGCAGCTATAGCTTGGCCGGACGCGTCCCGTGCTTCGGCTTTAGCGGCGGGTAGGCAAGGACACGAGTCCACGTGGACCACCAGTCAGCGACTGCCAGCAGTGGACTGAGTGTCGGAGAGGAGAGACGAGAAGGGATCGGAGTTGGAAAGCGACTTGGAGTAGAGAATGAGAATAAAATGTTAATAAGCATTTATAGCCATCCAACTTGGGTTCTCATATAAAATGCTTTGTGGGATGTTAGTCTGATCTATTTTCTTTGAGCTTTTGTCTGAATGATAGCCAAATTATTTTTTGAGGCGTTGTGCTTGGGTTTCTTAGATTGCATGTGTAGTGTTGGTGGTAGCTTTTTGTTATCCTTACATTGTTAGGGTTTTATGAACTTTCTTTCCTTTCATGTTCCAATCCGCCCATGTTATGTGGAGGGTATTGTGATATATATTCATGCACTTATAGGTCCTACTAGAAGCAAGGCGCCTTGCCGCGCCATTTTCTCTAACCATTACACAGTAATGACGCTAACATTCGGACAAAAATTCTTTGAACTGGACATAAATAAAAGGTTGCATTATCGAAGCCAATACCAAATTCAAATTGACAGTGCAGAGAAAAATAGAGTCCGATCGGTTTATCTAAGCTATCCTAACTAATTTCAATCCTTGAAACGCCATCCTTGTTCGTTGCCTTAGTCATATTAGTGGATTACAGTGGAGTTCTTCTCCATGTTCTATTTGCAAATTTGTGTCTTCCTGAAACATCCAAAAATAACAAATAAGCGAAGCCACTATGAATTCAATTAAATTGCAATACTGAGGTGGTGAGTAGGAGTCTTGCTACACCATGAACTTTAGTTTGCCATGAACCCAAATACTTTGAAATGTACAATTAAGTGTTCTTGAAAGTGAAGAAGGTAATGCAGAGTTTAGAGTAATATAATATATATTTATTGAGTGAACTACATGTAATCCCATAGATCACAATAGGAGCATCTTGTCCTACAACTAAAGTGCAGCATCATAAATACCGAAGGCCAAAACCTACACAAAACATTTTTAGTAATAATACCACAAGTTACCTACTGAAGCAGCAAGTTGGACTGTATTATTCACTATAAATAGCATATTTGCACAACGACTCTAGAACTTTTCACCAATCCTCAGTAGCAAGCAATGCTACCATCTAGTCAAAACTTAAGAAGTTCAAGTGTAACATGGGACAAAATAAAATTTCATCTCTTCAACCTTGAGCTAATATTTCTGTAACACATTTTTTCTAGAATTCAGTACTGTAGTTGCAATGACTAAAACAAGCATCGTTTCAATTTCACAGTTGTTCTCAAAACTGGTACCGAAAAATGTAAAACAAATATCTACTCTCTGGGAATATATATCAGAATATATATATATATATATATATATATATATATATATATATATATATATATATATAACATGAAGAAAATTTGATCTTATGCCTTAGTATTTATTTCATACTGACATCTCATCAAGATATGCTAATATGTTTGGATCTTCATTAATAAATCTCCAAGAAATTAAAGCTGGATGCAGACCTCTCTCCAAATCAGGTGGTGGGAATGACGGTAGAGGAAGCTTATGATGTCACGCATGCTTATGATCTTCCTGCACGAAATTAAATATCTCGATTACCTGATTCCGTAATCTGCAGTACCTAAAGAAAACCTGCGCATCTTCATACAAGAGATCAAGTTGGTTGCCTATTGTTGCTTACTGCTCCTATGTCCTACCACCTAACTCCAGATCTAACCGACAGCTATACATTGAGGATTGCAATTATACATATCTGAAAGAGAAATGGTTAAAAATGTAACAACAAACTATCGTGTCACATAAAGAACATAAATTTCCAGTACTTGGCTTTCATAATGTGACAGCCGCAACCTTTGAACACAATGCTCCAAAGAAGTATTGCAAAAAATTAGTACAAAAGGATACTATTATTAATCCCTTCTCTATACACAGATGTCATTATTTTTCCAGTTCATCGCTTCTTGCCACTACAATACTACTCGAAGAGCAGCAGTAAACAATATACAGTACAACTTGAAGAGTAGCAGTAAACAATGTACAGTACAACTCGAAGAACTGCAGTAAACAATATGCAGTATACAACTCAAAGAGCAGGAGGCGAAGATGGTCAAGGAGTCATTACTGAGACTCTGCGATGCCACCGCCAGTGGCACTGAGGTCATGCATCGGTACATGGCGCCGTAGGTGCAGGAGCTCAAGTGTTGAGTTCGAGCTTGTCACATCTGGCTGCCACTTGTCCAGTGTGACGTGTCAAGGATCGGGCCCAGTTGTAAGAGTGCGTGAGTGAGAGCGAGGGAGTGTTAAAGGGGCAGCCAGCCGCCTGTGGCAGGGCATGCGATGTAACAGACTGACAACTCTTCCTAATCCTTCCTCTGGAAGCAATTTCCCTTCTTCCTCTCCAAGTCTCTCTCTCGCTCTCCCTCACCTACTCCGATCCCATCCTCTCCGGTTCGTTACAGTTGGTAATCAGAGCCAAATCGCCTCGATTTTTTTTTCTCCCCGCACTGGTTGCAGATCGGTAACATCCACCGCGCCGGTGTGTGCTGCTTCGGCAAGCTCACACGAAATCCGTCGCGGGGTTCAATCTCTTCCAAGCACGGCGACGGCGCCCTCCAAAGCTTCGGCAACGACGCGTCAGGTAGTGGCCGACATGGATGAGGGCAACAGCAACATCACCAAGATGCTCGCGTCCCTCCTCGCCAAGATGGACGAGTAGAAGGCGGTCCACGACAAGCAGATCGAGATTCAGGCCGTCTTCAACGCGCAGATCTCGCAGGACGTGCTCGGCCTCTCCAGGCAGACCGATCTGACGCAGGCCGACGTCGACGCAACTCGCAAGACGGTGGAAGGCTCAGCATCGCCGTCGGGGTCGGTCACCACCATGCTGCACCAACCCACCGCTCCGCAACAATCCCCACCACCGCCCCCGCCGCCTCCACACTCGCGTGGTCACCGAACAGGGCCGCCCGGCGACCGCCCACGCGCATCTCGGGGACCATCGACCCCCGCTCATTCCCGTGCCTCCACAGGGCGGATTCGCGGCCCCGGCCGCCGCTCCCTCCCCAACAGCGGGCCACTACGGCAACGACTACCACAAGCCACCGAAGCACGACTTCCCCCGATTCGATGACTCCACTCCATATCTGTGGCTAGATCGCTGCCTGGCGTACTTCGAGCTCTACAAGGTCGCACCACACAACTGGGTGGCCACCGTGGCGCTGTATATCGAAGGCCAAGCAGCGCACTGGCTACAAGCATTTCGTTAAACACATCGCGGTATCACCTGGGAGGTCTTCACGTTCGCCGTGCTCGAGGAGTTCGGTGCCGATGAGTTCGAGGTGGTCATGCACAAGCTACTTCAACTCCGGCAGACCGCCACGGTCGCCGAGTACCGTGCGGCGTTCGACGAGCAAATGCACCACCTGCTCGCGCTCGATCCGTCCATCAACACCAAGTTCTTCGGCACCCAGTTCATCCTGGGCCTGAAGGACGAGCTACGCGCCCCGGTTCGTCTGCAGGCGCCCTCAAGCATCACCAGGGCGTCGGTGTTGGCGTGTATTCTAGAGGAGGAACTGGGCACGACGCGCGTGCGCCCACGCATCACTCCAGCAGGGCGACCCCCACCGGCGGCGGCTCCACCACAACCCCGGGCGGCCGTGCCCAACCGCGCCCCCACGGACGACTATGCGCGCGAGCGGCAACTCCGCGACTATCGCCGCGCCAATAATTTGTGTTTCAAGTGCGGCGACCGATACTCGCGGGAGCACAGGTGTGCGCAGCCCGCCCAGCTGCTCACCATCAGTGTCGGCGATCACGGCGAGGTGCTCTCCAACGACGCCATCCACGCGCTGCAACTCCTCGACGACCCCAGACCGGTCGCGCAGCCGCAGCTCCTGCTGGGGATGCTCCCGAGTGCTGCCTCCTCTCGTCGCACGCTCTGGACGGCACGGACTCGGTGACGACGATCCGCCTACGCGCACTGGTGGGAAACCAAGTCATGCTACTTCTTCTTGATTCGGGCAGCTTGCATAGCTTCGTCAACAAATCCTTCGTCGATCGTCTCGGGCTGATGACAGAAGAAATACCGCGGGTGGACGTGCGCGTCGCCAACGGTGACCGTCTCTCCTGCTGTCCTGCAACCGCATCGTCCCCAAGCTCAAGTGGTGGATGCAAGGGCACACGTTCGCCACACCGATGCGCGAGCTGGACATTGGCGCGTACGATGGCA